ATTTCAGGTTTATTTTTGCTTAATACAATTGTTATTTTCAGCTATTCTTTTTTAATTTTTCAATTTCAATTTGTTATTTCAGAGATTTCAAATCATATAAGACAATGGAAGTCCGAACTAATGAAATTCACTATGAAACATTGTTAACCACTTCAAATAAATATATGTGTGTTAGGAATCACACGTTAATAGGTAAGACTTCGTTAGTCCTTAGCTCGCACTTCTGAGGGTTGTCGTTCGTAGGGGTGCGACAGCTGGTTAACGGAAAAACAGATTTTTAAACAGAATTCGAAAAACGAAGATGGATATGCTTTCTATCAATTTACTCTCAATTTCATAGGTGATAGCAAAGTAGCGTTCAGATTACCGAAGTTCAATTATCATTCTTCAAGTTTAACATTCACGTTATTCCATTTCTTCCAAAATGTGATATCCATTTTCTCTATTTATTCTTGAATATTTCAAATGAATTCAACTCACTCGGTAGCATGTTATACAGTTTTGGTGCAAGAAAAATATGACCTCTTTGGCCAACAGTTTTTCTAATCATAGGTAATACGGACAGACCAGTATCGTGTGTTGTGCTGATGCACAATTTTATTTTGTCTGTATCTATTTTTGAATTGTGGTTTTTGTAATGCTTGAAAATATATTTGCCTAATATCGAAAGCTCCATATTTCAGGAAAAATTTATCGCTTGAGTACCGATACGGTTTAGCCAGCAATATTTCTAGAATCCATTTTTGAGTCACTTCAATATTTACGTGATGATTATTTCTGAGACCGTCCCAAGTATTTATTCCATATGATGAATGATGTACCAAAGAAAAGTAGAGCGGCATAATTTTAAATATTTCGCAGAAACTTCGTTATAGTTCAAATGCCGGAGTTAGACTTCGTTGTATTTTTCCCATGACTATGGCGCATAAATTAGGCTGAATTAGACCGATGGCATGAGTTATATTGGGTTTGAGGACCGCTTATTTCCATACACCTGCGACTTGAAAAAAACCCACAAGAAAAAGTCTAACGGGGTCAAATCGCACGATCTTGGTGGCCAGTTCACATGTGGCATGAGCCGTGTGGCACGTAGCGTCCAGATCATCCAACTGAGGCCAAAAGGAGTTGATTTTCATCGACCTACAGTTCTTCCCGTTGAGAATGATTGCCTGTTAAAAAAATCTTTTAAAATCTGTTTTTTCGTTAACCAGCTGTCGCACGAACGATAACTCTCATAAGTCGAAACTTGTACGAACTAAGGACTAACGAGGACTTACCTTTCAACGTGTGTCCATGTTTCAGATTCACAGAACACTGCAGCCTCATCCGCGAAGCTAATTGTGTCTCCATTTGTCAGTGAATTCAATAGTTTGTTCGTATAAATATAGAAAAAAAGTGGCTCCTATATGATTCCTTGTGGTAATCCATAATCAGTATTTCTGAATCCGCTTCTTTCCCAATTAACGCTCACGCACATCTCTCCATTTTCAAATGAAAATTTCAG